GGGGGTGAAGCCGCCCTTGTCCCGCAAGTCTGGGTTAGCACCGCGTGCCAATAGTCCAGCAATGAAGCGATGGTATCCCAAGGCACAGCCCATGTGCAACATTGTTTGACCAGTGGACCTTCTCAGATCAAGTCGCGACATTCTCGGGTTGTCATCTAGATCGATGAGCTCCAAGCACTTCAGAAGTTGAGATTCGGTGCTCATGTTGAAGGTGCTTCCGCCAAAGCCGCCGACACTACCTGAGGGCCCAGACGCACCCCAGCTTGAGTCACCCTGACCGATAATGCGCTGAGCAAGTTCCTTGACATCAACCATCTGTCCAGACATCTTATGACCCAGGATTGAGAGAGCCGTGCGAATGAGCTTCTCTTCGTCGTCGTCGACATACTTGAACATTTGGTTCTGTTTGGACATAGCAGGGAACGGTGGTCCAGCTTGCGTTTGACTCTGCTTGAAAGTGACAAGAACAGCTCCAGAGACAGGCGAGGGAGGCAGAAGACAGACAAGGGATGATTCGCCCCAGAAAGTAGTTGTGGTGGCCTTCTGGTCGCCGAACAGCACTTCGAGACCCTGGTAGAAGCTGGCTCCGAGGATCGTGACCTCGATGCCACCAGACTTCGGACCTTCGTTGGGAATGATTTTGTGAATGGTTGGCTGTGGCCGCGCTGGAGCAACGGCGTTCGTCGGCATGTATGACATCGTGTTGAACTGGTTCTGCGACACCACGTTCACACCGTTACGCAGTCCACTGGGGCTTGCAGCGCGGCTCTGGTGTGCTGATGCGGGCGCAGAGAACATCGGCATGGCGACGTTGTCCATGCTAGCTGAGCGATTGGCATTAGTGAACAGTGTCTGGTCGTTGCTGTTAGGCGTAGGCGGGCCAGTAGCGTATGCTTGAGGCATGGGTGGTGGAGCACCGTTCTGAACAAACACAGCTTCAGGAGGAGTTTGGAAGCTGGTCAAGTTGGGCGTGAATGGTGATGTCGATGCAGAGGCAGCCGCGGGGATTGGATTGGGCATCTGCGTTGGCGGGGGCGTCGTGTCCAGGCGCGTCATTGCCATTCCTATCGGTACTCTCGATCCTGTGCTGGCCTTGCGCTTCTTCGTCTGAGGTCCGCCATGCGCGTTCGGAGACTGCGGTCGCGATAATGAGCGAGGGGTAGTGCTCGAAGCTGGAGGTGCTGGCGCTTTGGCGGTCGTGTTCGCAACTGGGAATTGAGGAGCGGAATTGCGGTGCATGTTTTGCAGATCGGAGCTAGAATGAGACAGTCGGAAGGGTGTTCCTCCATTGCTGAGTGGGCTGGATTCCATCGGAGCGTTCATCATAGGTACCAAGTTGCTGCTGTTGTTCTCCGGGGCTTGGGTCGCAGGTGGGTTCAACTGTTGCGGGATCGGGTGCGTCTTGTGATCGTCGGTGATCATTATCGATTGAGACATCTCCTGTGCCACAACCCGATCTTGCCAGTCCTTAATGGTGAAGATGACCTGGAATCCCAGTTTCTCGGCATGGTGCCTGCAGTAGCAAGCGATTCTCATCGGGGCATCGACTTGCATAGCACCGGGGGGCGCCACAGGCTCCGGCCGTCCTGTCACTGTAGAGTCTGAGACGACGCCGTTGGGTGTCTGCCACTCCTTCACTTCTTGTGTGTTGAAGACAATCACCCGCCTAGTCTCGTCACGATTCCACATCTCCTCTTCCTCAACCTTCTTGATCTTCTTCCTTGCGGCTCGTTTACGCTCACGGGTGATACAGCCGGCGCAGATGCGCACTTCGCCTCCGTTCTGCGGCTTGTTCTCCTCATCATCCTCGTCGCTAACGGATCGGGCGTTCATGACGGGGCTGTGGGTGGCGGCTGCGGCGCGTTGGAAGGCCTTGCGCTTGTTGTCGTCGTTTTGCATCGCACTAGTGCACACGAGCATGGTGTACAGTTCCAGCATATCGGGTGTCCGTTCGGCTGGTGGCTTGGCTAGTAGCTTTGGCTTCGAGATGGTGTGCACTGGCAGGTGTAGACGCTTGATACCAGGAGGTAGCGGGAAAAGAGTCAACTTAATGGGAATCTGTGTCTCAACGCGCGATTTGGAGGGTGTCGGGTGGATCGTCAACCGACAACCACGGCTGAGGAAATCAAAATTCGGCTGAGTAAAAATCGGCATTTGTTGCGGCATCGGGACCGGAAGACCATCGTGTTGGTGGTATTGCGGTTGCATAGGCATATTGGCAACCATCTGGTGCGCCGCAGGATCCAGCTTGCCAGGCCAGAAGCCTTGAGGGTTCATAGCACCCATTGCGGCAGCGTTGAAATCTGGTGCGCCGGGCGAGGGCGAACTGTTGAAGAAGGCTGACGGGGATGCCTCATGACTGGTTATCATGTTTTGTGACATTGGAGAGCATTCTCTCGAGTTTGTCATCTTCAATCCATTCATGGGCTGTGATATGGAGTATTGCTGAGTCGGGTTAGCTGGGTTCTGTTTCTGTTGTGTTGCGCAGCGAAATTCCACTCACTGAGTTCCGCTTGCCGTGATTTGCGTTTCGGGGATTGCCCGGAGCGATGGTTTTTGACGGTCCATTCGTGTGAATGGTGGGCATCTCTGGCGACTCCATGCTCATGGCACCGGCTGCGTTGGGACTACTTGAAGCACTCTCAAAGTCAAAGGACTCGTCCATAAACTTATCATCGTTCAAATCCAGGCCGTCGGGCAGCGTCGCGTCGGCATTTGCGCCGAACATGAAGATACTGTCTTCTGGACGACCGACAAAGGCCGAGGCGTTCCAGTCGTGCTTGACGTCGGCTCCATCGGTCATCATTACGTCGGCGGTCTTCCCTGAGGCGGAGCTGGCGGTCCTTTTCGAGGACGCAGAGTCGGAGGAAGAATCTCGGAAGGAGTCGATGAGGGAGTCGGGTGAGCCAGCGGCGACGGTACCGGTAGTCAGCAGGGTGGCTCGGGGTTCTAGCGACTTTGCTTCGTGAAGCGACTGAGGGAAATCGGAGATTTTGAGGGTATCGTGGGCGTTGAGGTCGAAATTTGTTGGCAGAGGACTCGAGTCACCGAACGGATTGTTCTCGTCGTATTCCAAGAACTCGTTGAATTCGCCGGTGGGGGACATTCCCGGAACGGCTGGCATAGGGCTGGCACCGATAGCGGCACCAGCAGTCGTCATACCTTGGCCAGAAACAGTGATGATGGATGAAAGTTGTGTGCGTGTTGTGTGAGGCCCGACGACGACGGCGACGACGACGGAGATGGCGACGAAAGGGGAGGAGGTGAAAGCTCGGTCTGGGGATGTTGTGGGGAAAAGGGCGTCTCGTGGTAAAGTGGTGTAGACCAGGCGGTGGAGTGGGGGCCCACCGTCCAGTGTCCCTCTAATGCGAGTCCGACCCGGATTTGCGCTGGGCGAGGTGAGTTTGTGTTTGATTGTCGCACTGGGTTGGAGCCAGGATGTGCGGCGGATACACGGTGTAACCTGTTGCTGACGAGCGGCCGTCGGGGCAATTGGGTAATAATAGTCCTGAGAAATGGTCGGTGGTTGAGCGTTCGGAGGGGCCCTGTAAATCCTTCCTCTTGTTGTCTGTATTTGTTCCTTCGTACGGTGCGGAGCTTTTGTGCGTGGGTTGGGTGCTTGGGATTTCGTAGCAGATAGGGTGTCTATCCTAAGAGCACATTGCTGCGACGCCGGGGAACGCAAATGTCTCTTGTTTTTCCCAGTCGTCTTTCCTTCTTCTCGCTGGGTTGTTCTGTCGGGGACTTTGGGGGGTGGTTGGAGCGAATGCAGTTAGGGCGTTTCTTGCTCTTTTTACCTCTTGCTATTCCCCGGCCTAAGGTAGTAGGAGGGGAGGAGAGTGATAGGTAGTATCACTAGGGAGGTCAAGTGTCCGTAGTTCAGGTTTACGATGAGCAGAGGGAGAAAAAAGGTACGATAGGTGAAAAATTAAATAAAAAAAAAAAAAAAGGCAGGCGAGGGCGGAAATTGTATGCCCAGGAATTGGAGTCTGCACTGGTGCGTGTACGTGCGTGTGTGTGAGCGGGCAGCGCTCCAGTCTCTCTAGAATGTCCAAGTCAAGGCGGTAACAATGTCTCAAAAAGCGGCCAGTCCCTTGGAAAGCGGTGACTCGAAATTGGGCTGGGCGAAGTGAAAGAGACAGGGGATTGGGTATGTGAAGGGCGATTCGAATCGGGGTGCAGATAGATGAAGCCAATCAATAAGGTCAACGCCCGTCGTTCCAGAGTGTAGTGTAGGTTCCTGGTTGTATGTGTCCAGAGTCCAGACCGATTGAGTTTGGTTGCAAATGCAGCGACCGTTGTAAGAAGACCGATAAGAAGCAGAAGCAGACGAAGACCAATAACAACAAGTTGACAACGAGGACGACAAGATGAGCGGATGGATGTCAGCGATGACAGCAGGCGGCTATCGACCGGTATTGTGTGACCTTGATGAACGAGCGCCGGCCCCCGGTGACCGGAGACGATGATCTGGAGGCTACAACTTTCGCTGGATTTACTGGCGACACAAGATGATACCCAAGGGTTGCAGTGCTCGGAGTAAGCACCGAGCCACTGGCATCAAGATACAACTGCAGCACACAGAGGGGAGGTAGACGTAGAGTAAACAGTAGACACAGACACAGAAACGACGAAAAAAGCACAGTTGATGGTGAAATGGAACAAATTGTGGACCGGGCGAGTTTTGATCGTTTGGTGATGTGTACCTTGGGTGGGCGTGTGTGTGTGTGTGTGTGTCCAAGTTGCAGCATGTAAGGCAAGGTGAAGGTAAGTTACCTATCCCGGGCAAGGTCTTAACTGATAGTAGAGGCGTGGCTGGATCATTTATCAATGTACTTTGTATGCGTACAAGCTGAGGGAACACGGCACGTTTGAATACTTGGCTTCAATGGATGGCTTATCAGGCTTCCTTGGGTATTCCGGTGTCCAGAAAAGCCTGACGCAAGCTGCGGCGAACAGGTGTAAATACGGTAGGTAAGGTAGACAGTTGTTCACGTATATCACTCAATCTTGGGACTGGACGAATACGATGAGGATCGGTCTGAAGCTTGTTCGCCATCAGGCCGTCCCATTCTCCGAGACGCGCTCGCTTGCTGTGCGTGGATGGGAGCCAGAGCCAACCTGAGGGGTGAGCTGAGAAATGGTGGTGTGCGCCTTGTCATTCTCTTTCTCATCTTGCAGCGTCTTCCTCGATCACACCTTGCCTCAGATAATGTGGCACTATGGTCTCCCATCCTCTGTGAATACGTACAAGTGGAAATGGCAGGGACGGACGAGGAGATGGCGCTGCAACTCGAGGGTTGGAAGGGACGTCGGGCAGATATCCATCTGCCAATGGGAATGAGAACGAGATAACCAGATTGGCTGTGCGACTTTGCTGAGAATGCCATGTATCCGTATGGATGGATCCTAGAGAGTTGGTCTTGCGTCTTGCGTCCTGCACTTGCAGCTGGCGTTGTGGCGTTGGATGCCCAGTGCTCAAGCTTCCCGTTTGGGCCTGATACTCGTAGAGGTAGCCGCACACTGAGCACGCTAGATTCATCGAACTCTCCTGCCGGTCTGCATGTATCTGCATGTACGGAGTATGTGCGTCTGCTCGGAGTTGGAGCTGTTGCTGAAGCGGGAATTGACTGACGCCCTGTGCTCTTCCTTTATTTCTCTCGTCTACGTTTCCTCTGCAATGGAGATCAGTGTCTGGTCTGTCGTCTATCTCAGCATCCGTATCTGTAAGGTATCCATCATCGTGCGCGCGCGCCTATGCCTGGGTTGCCAGCCTGCCTCGACCGGGAACAACGCAGCAAAAAGACAGACTCGCCTATGTCCACTGTCCCCTTTCAGCTTGCGTCTGCATTGGTAGAGATTTATTCATTGCAATGGAAGTTGGTGCAGGAACATAGTCGATTAACACTGAGGTGAGTGTGCAGTGAAGTCCCAGGTTGCAAAAGGTTGGTTGATGAGGCGTGGAAATTGCTGAGGAGGGACCCGCAAAAAAACTCATCGACGGGAGAAGAATAGAGGTACGTATCGCAGGTGCAGGTATCTAATTGGCCGTGTGTCTGCGGCGGAAGACTTACGCGAACGCACCGTGTGGCACCTGCGCCACGCGCCGCCAAGACAGATGGCAGTCCTCTCCGAAAGCTCCACTCGGTGCCCTGAGTCCACTCAAGCCACCCACTTCCTGGCCAATCATACACTTGTCTCGCGACGGTTCCTTGCTAGAGCCTGAGTACAGTGTGAGAAGTTTTCATTCTTCCCGTCGACTCTCGAGACATTCTCACTCACATCCCGCGTCGCCCGATCCCTTGGCCGTACCAACCGACCTCCTCCCACCACGGTACCACCCACCATCCATCCACCTACATCGAAAAGACTGAGACTGAGGGGACTGATAAGCAAACCAGGGCATCAGCACATCAACCCCCCCCCCCCCCCCCCCCCCCCCCCCCCCCCCCCCCCCCCCCCCCGCCCCCCCCCCCCCCCCCCCCCCAGACAAAGCGGCGAGGGGGGGGGCGGAAAAACAACCCACGGCCACACCACCCCCCCCCCCCCCCCCCCCCCAACGCCAGCGCAGGGCAGCGCAGCTAAAACACGCGCGTCCCGATGGCGGATGGCCCCTCCGGTACGCAGGACGGATACCTGGTAAATTATGACATTGCTCTGCGAGATGAGCCTTTGGGTCTTTCGCTTCCATTGGCCGCTTACCTAACTAGCCTTACTGTGGTTCCAGTGTCTGCTTACTGTCCGCGGATACGTGTACGGAGTACCAACAGCAAAGTCACGAACATCACCCTGTGCAGCAATTCTGCCTGCCCGCCTCGAAACCCACTTCAGCCCAGATAGAGCCACATTCCTCGGGTCTGCTCCCCCCCAATTCCACTGTTTCTCATACCGGTAGGGCCCAAGGCCCAAAAGGCCCCTTCCAGGTTGCTTCCAGGTTCTTGAACCCTCAACTCGATACCCTGGGCCACTCCCGGTGGCTCAGGCTCTGGTCCCTGACCCGTCGCCAGGATGCCAAATGCACCGGCGATACAGAGTTGCAGTCCCGCCGCCTTCCTTGCCTCGCCAGGCTTACCTCACTCGTCACTTTTACAACTCTGGCCTCGCCCCTCATCAACAATCAACGTCAGTCCTCATCATCTTGCAGGCAACAAGGAACAGATTGCTCGGTGCCGGAGCAATCTGGCCTCTTCCAAGTCCGGATACGACTTGGCTCTTGTTCGGACTTTTGCTACGCGTCTCTTGTCTCTTTGCCTAGAGCCTTCCCCACAAGTCAACAATACGCTTTTGGCCAAGTCTCGTGATACCCAGCGGACGGCAACCCCTGGGAGACTCCTTGAGTCTCTGCTCACTTTCTCACAATGTGAACTACCAAGACAGGTCAGTGGCCACTGCGGTCAACTTACCGTGTGCCCGCACATTGGATGAAAACAGTAACCTGATCCTCTCCTTTGGATCCAAGCTACGCCGACCCAGACCGGTGCCGCGGGAAACTAACTCTCTCACAGACTCTTGTCATCGACTTTAACACGCAGCTCGGCTCGTCTCAGGACGTCAGCGCTTACCTGTTGCTACAGCTAATGCAGGCAATGGCCCATGTATCCGTACCTACCTCTCGAACAACGGGACTGCGTAGGTTTGTGCCCTGGGTTCCTTCCCGGCCAACCTAAAGCATCGACACCAAGACCGAGCGGATCTTACTTGGTCTTGTTATGCATCGATACTACTACGCACCTCCCTCAACAAGAGACGGTACGACTTTGCGGCGTGTCCTGAACCTAAACTTGGCCGGGCCATTATATCCAAGGAGAGGCTACTCGGCTTTCCAAAAACCGTCCGATTTCTATTCCACCGTCCAGAGGCAAGCTCTTTTTCTTACCTTGTCACCGGGAAATAGCCTAGCTTCATTGGCCCATCTTTGGAATTACTCGTTGAAATGCAAGACAGTGATTGTCTGCAACATCAGTTAGTTAGTCATTGCAACGAACTGCTACTACCCTACGACGCAAGCCAAATCTAGCCACCGTTGGCCGCCTAGAGTAATCCCGACGCAAGAACCGGCGGAAGACGGGTTGGCACGATATCAGCCCGCCGCATTACTTGCGTCCGATGTCAATCATCGGCCCTTTGATAGGCTCCCGCTTCCCTCAACGTCAGGAACAGAACCCGGTGGTGAATGCAACCCTTCCCGCAGATGGTCGTTCACATCTGCACCAACAATACCACCACCGTCGCTACCACCCATCCTTTTCTCCTAGCTAAGGAATCTAGCAATTCATCCAGTCGATCAATTCCTTTCTGTCCGAGTCTGGACCTCAGCCCAGCTTAAGCCTTGCCGTCTGAGCGGGATTAAACAAACCAACCTGCCAGCCTCCTAGGAATCTAGGAAATCGAGATGCGACACTTGATTCTTCAGCCCCGACGTCGCTCCGAATCTCGCACAAACGCCTCCATACCACCACCTCGCCACCTCACCACCTCACGTTTAGTTAGCCTTTTGCAATCGTGTGTCAACCATTCTTGGTCCGGTCGGGTTGCGCAAAGCAGGAATTGACTGTACTGCGTACTTCTCCCAAGTCGGGTATGGGTTGCACAAAGTCATTATGTAAAAATCCTTGCACTTGGCTTAAATTGTGCATAAAGCTGGTTTTTCCATCTGACCTTTGATCGAAACGTACTAGACATCACCTGGACTGCAGCCAGCGGCGGTAACCTAGTCTCCCCCAGCCTAGAGACCAGCTACCAACCCCAAGAGCACCAATCAACGATGGGCCTCATACCACCAGAACTTGGTCTAGGTGCGGGCAACAACTATAAGGTACCTAGGCACAACTAGGCGACTCCGATGTGTGCGTGTGTGTGCATGTGTATGTGTGCGTAAAAATCGCAAATGGTGGACCGAGTGAATACCGAGTGGCAATCTTCCAGTTCAATTAGACGTCTACCTAATCACGGATATTCTAGCCGGTTCTATCCAAGTTCTATCTACAACAGATTCTCTACGAACAAAGATTGGACAAGTGTCACTTGAAAGGCCAACTAACCATGGATTCGTCTTCCATATCCTTTCCTTTTGCTTTCCTGAGAGTAGGTATCCCCCAAGAGACATGGGAATTTGACAGCGGCTGGTAATCCGGAATTCTGTCCGCCGCGTGGGCTGATTGTCTCACTTCCAAGTCAAAAGAAGGCTTTTGCAGTTGCAGAAAAATAGTTCTGCATCACGCGAAATCTTCTGCCTCACGGGGTTTTTCTTCCTTCTGCAAATCACCGAGGTGCTGCGGGTGTCTCGTCCGGAAACCGGATTGTACGACTTGGGAGCTCTGGTGGTGGCGGTGGCGTCTGCACCTGCTGTTGCTCATCAGCCACCTTTGTCTGAGAACCGTTAACGCGTTCTCCGTCTTCGGGGCCTGAACGTTTCTGCTGCTCCGGTTGATCGGTCCGCTTCGTCCAAGGAGGGGCCGCACCCGGCTCGTCCGCGCCCGCAGGCTGCGGAGGGATGACTGAGCCGCCGATTCTGTAGATGGGCCTATTGGCTCCTTCCACGTCGGATTGGGGTTGTGACTGTGACTGCACTCGCGACTCGGTATCGTAGCCCGAGCCTGTCGCTGCTTCGATACCTTGGGATCGTGAACGGCCAAAGGGATACAGTACTCTGCCACGAATGCGGAACGAAGGTCGAGTGGCCTCGGGAGCCTCGCCGTCGCCTTCGCCGCTCATGAAAGATATGCCTCTAGAGAGCGAGCGTGGAGCGTAGTAGCCGAGCTTGCCGAGCGGGATGCTCAGCCCGTGTACCACCTATTTGAAACTTCATTTTAGTTCTCGACGATTTGGAAGTGCGTCACTTACTATACTACAGACTGCGAGGAACCAGACGACGACTCTGACTATCTCGGGTAGGTGAGCGACATCTGAACGAGGTTCATCGCCCTCGTTTAGCGTGTGCAGAAACTCGACTGTGACGTAGAGGTAAAAGATGGCCGACACTCCAATGGGGCCGAAGAAGCCCACGAAGATGGCTTGCTTCACCTCCTCGATCTGGGGTATGAAGCGGTGGATGGCGAAGACGAAGGGTAGGCGCCGCAAAATCAATACCAAGATGCCGAGTGGGATGAGACGGTAGATGGGAATCACGTTGTTGTGAAGGAACTCGTTCCACGGGATGACGGCACCGTACCACATGAAGATGGTGACGTTCAAGAGCATATCAATCGTTGGCTGGAAGGAGTCGTCTTCGGTTTCCAAGCGGAACCAATCGTCCCACGTAAAAGCGTTGCCGGCGATGAAGCACGCGAGCACGTCATCGCTGCCAATCATACCGCACGTTCCGACGATGAAGAGCGCCAGGGAGATTGCAAAGACCAGGAAGCTCTCCCTGTCAACATATTTGCGCTTCTCGGCCCATCTGAGCAGCGTCTTTGCGAGCCATCCCACAACGGCACCGTAGATGACGCTGAGGATGATGGTATAGCCCCAGGTTTCACCGAACCACAACCCCATCGCCAAGCCGGCGCCTCCAGAGACCTGCTTGCCGCCGTCACCAATGTACTTGATTAGGTACAAGGCGAAGAACAGAAACGGGTATCCCAGCCCATCATTGGCGCCGGACTCGCTGATGATGAGATTCTGCAGCTCCGTGGGTATGTTGTGGTCTGCGAAGCGGCCCTTGACGATGACGTTGGACAGCACCGGATCCGTGGGCGTCACGCAGGCGCCGACGGCGAGGGCGTGCAAAAAGGGGATATGCGGCACCAGGGCCCAGACGAGGAGAGACGTTGCGAGCCACATGCAGGTCATGACGGGGCCGACCAGCAGGGCCATGGGCTTCCACTGCGTGCGGAGATACCTGCTGGGCAGCTGAACGCCGGCGAGGACGAGGCGTGAGAAGGCGAGGGTGACGCTCTCGACATCCTCTTCCGTGCCGGCATATTCCAGCGGTCTGATGAGGTTTGCTGCAGGAGGAGAGAAGGCCACGCCCGCGAGGAGGGATATCACTGGGGTTTTTGGGTTAGCCGCTTGACTGCAAGACGAATCGAGAAAGTGATGTCCTGCATGGCGATCTAGGCGCATCTACTGCGACCATTGACACCATATTCACCATTGAGGGTCCATTGGGCTGCGAAACATGTGAACAGCGGTGGGACTTACGAGCTTCGGAGAGGTAGTAGTTCTCCTTGCATAAGTATGAGACCAGGCCGAACAGCGAGATCCAGCCACCTAACAAGCCTACGAGGATATTGAAGTTTGTGAGCGCGAGGGTAGGCATCTTGGGCGGCCTTTCTCGAACGTGAGATCTGCTTCCAAAAGTCGAGAATTACTCAAGCTTTCGCCAAGGTGTCTAGTCGGGCCTGCAAAGCTTGGAAGCCTCCACACTTCGTGCGAGTTTGAGTTGTAGGCCCCGCGGATGATCCAATGAATGCGCACGGAAATGCGACTAGGCCCGGTTCGCCAAGTTTTTGAATCACAAAAGGTGACGGGGTTATCTCTCAGTAACACAAAACAACAGGTATGGCGATACAGAGAGCGCGCGCCCTACGGATAAGAAGGTTCTTCTGATTTCGGATCCGAAGGAGGCCGGAACCAATACCTAGGTTTTCGTGCGGTACGATCCGAGGTGCAGTTTGTTCTAGCCAACAGCAGATAGAAGATTGTTATCGAATCGCGGGGTTCGAAGCGTCGTGGACGAGGAGAAGAGTTGCGGCGCTTGCGTGGCTGGCTGTCATTGGGAGGCCAGACAGGATCAACAACTTTCGTGGCGATGATGGTTGCTTCTTTGGATCTTCTCTCTGCGACCAAGAGATGGCGGTCTGCACGCCTTTGCGGTTCTGGAGGGGTCTTGAGCTTCTGTCTGCCCAATGGGTTCCGAATGCGGTGCGCAGATGCGGGCGGCCGAGTGAATACGTAGGCCGTGTGGGAAGTCTTGGGTGAGGAAGGTCGCGATGTAAGGGGAAGAGAGATTGAAGTGAAAAAAAGAAAGGTGGCGGCTTGGCGAGGATCCAATGCAAGTGCTGTGGTTTTTGGATGTCGGGGCGAACGCCGCCGAGCTGTAGCCCGGCCCTAGGTTTTTCATCATCACCGCTGGTCTGGCGAAGCGGGAAGGAGGGGTGTCCCTGGTCCCCTGCTAGGATACCTAGGGTATCTGTTTGACCCGATGAGGTATGGCTCTTGGAAAGTAAGTATTAGAGTGAGATGATGGACGCTCAGATTTGCGATGATGTGGGGTACGCAGAGTGCAGCTGTTTTGCACAGAATGGGGAGGAGAGGCACGTCCTATGCGCTGGACATTTCCTGCCTTCCTGAATAGTGACAAACTATCTTAAATATACAAGCTTAAACGGCGCTTTTTTGTGCTTCTGGTTAGCAAGACCGGATCTCGTGTGATGCCCAGAGACCAAGTTGACCCAAGTTATATCTTGCAAAATACCTCTTCGAGTCTCTTTCTAGTCGACGGGAAACGATGCCTTCCTGGCCCTACAAGACTGTTATTGAACAAGTGCAACAAGGTGACAAGTAAACTAATTAGGTGGTTTCTCGGGACTTCAAGCCGGTGCCAAGAATCTAGATCCCTTCTGCGCCTTACCTTCCCTTCCCTTCCCCCCAGGCGCTCTCCCCTCTCTCGCCCTCTTGTCTCTAAACCCATATTCTCCAGCCTCAAGAACCTCGCCAGCAATCCACAAACGCCCACAGAAACGACAACGTGGGGGACGTAGAGAGGGAGAGAGACACCACAGAGTAACGAAAAGAATACCCCAATCACATTAGCTCTAGGCAGAAAAACAGACACACGCGCGCGCGCACACATAGGTAGAGCCACGAGTTTAGTATGGTCTCACAAACCGCCACCATGCTTATGAGACAAAAAGTGTTTTTTTCCAAGACCATCACATTCGCGCCGGCCTGCCGCGGAAGCAACGGGAGAGGGAGAGAAAAAAGGGTTCCCAAAGATAAAGATATTCTGCCCTTGGAGAAGGCAGAAAATCCTACGTAATGAGACAGAGATACTATTCGTAGGTAATCCAACGTCGGTGGCACGTTTGAGTGTCTAAGAGAGGGAGGGAACTTGGTCGAGAGGGGATGAAAATCAGCCGAGGATGGATATCTGCCGTATCTGGGACATAAAACTACTTAAAAAAAGCAGAAACGGAAAACAGAACAGTTGAATAAAACATCCGTTAGACACTTGCCCCTGTCATTCGACTTCCGCCACGAAACAAAACATTCGTTAATGGTCTTCTTACATGCATAGTACGCCTCCAGGTCTGTACCGTAAACATCTTTTGGTGGACCACAACAATACCAGATATACGATCCGCCATTGAAAAATAATTACAGGATCAAAGGCTGAGAAAAGTCTTAAGGAGATGGGGATATTGACACAAGCAGAATCGTCACCATGCAATCAACCGTAGCCGCATGCGCCCGAAACGCCCCTTTGACATGACCGTCACATCAAGTCAACGACCCTTCACAAGTATGGCAATATTCAACATCGCCCGCATCGCTGCTGCAGACCCGTAGTGCGAGGGGTCGGAGCTTTGTCCGGGTATCGTCGATTGGCGCGCAAGGTCGCCTTCTGTTGACCCCTCCGACTTACTGACACATCGTATCCTATGCTATCGCTACCAAGCCGGCACATCGTAACATGACTTACGCGTGCTTTGCAGGATCATAATCATCCTCATCCGACTCTAATTTCGAGCCTATCAGTGCTGCCTCACTTGAGCTTTCTTCTTGACTTCGTTGGCAAAGTCTTTCTTGCACCGGCCGTGGCGAGCTCATCCGCAGCCCTGTTGCCTACAGATGTTGGGTCTTCCTTTGTGGTGTGAGCCTTCACCCAGTCGATGCTCGTTATTGTCCCTGCAGCCTCTCGTCTGTTGAGATGATCGATTATTGCCTTGATCAAGTCCTGGTTTTTGACGGATCCTTTCCAAGTCTTCCAGCCGTTGGCCATCCACTTCTTGCAGTCGCGAGTGACGCAGTTCTTTGCGTATGCGCTATCCGTCCAGATTTGGACATCCTGCGTGACCGAGGTGTACTCGAGTGCTCGAAGGACGGCGGTAAGTTCTGCTCGCTGATTCGTTTGTGGTTCACCTTCGAGGGGTTCAGATATGTTCCTAAATGCGTCTGGGTCAGTCCGCTGCCTCTGGCCTGTTGAGGAAAAGATGTAGGAGAACTACATCACCTCGACTTTGTTTGAGAATGAACATGGCGGAGGAAGGCAAGATGTAGTTGAGGACCTGCTTACCTTGCATCGTTGGGTCCGAAGTAGACGCCTACGCCGCCCCTGGCAGAGGGAGTACCGTTGCCCGCCGTAGCTCCGTCGATATAGATTTGCGGCAAGTTCAGTACCTCCGGTTTCACGGAATCGTCTTCAGATTCCTTCTCCATCTCCTCCTCCACCCCATCATCGTTCTCCTTCTTCACCTTCGTGGCCTTCGTTGCGGCGCTGGTGGCTGGCTTCCTCGGCAGAACCTTGATACCCGCATTCAGGGCGCCGGCCTCAGCACCGGCAATCGTTTCCTCATTGCCCCATTCCCTAATGAACTCCAACGCGCCGGTGTATGTGTCGAATCTCTTATATTTAGGCCCTTTGGCATCCTTGATCGCTAGGGAAACCGTATCCCAGTCGTTGACGAAGATGCCCGTGAAATGACCACGCGCGACGGCATAGTATCTCGGAGGAGCGGGCTTTTCCCCGGCTGGCGCTGGTACGAACTTTCCTTCCACAAAAGCCTGAGCCTCTTCGCGTGTGAAGAAAGACTTGTCTAGAAAGCAGCCTCTGTCAGTCGCACCGGTCAAGAAGGCCTCCAAACTCCACAGTGGTATGGTCAGTTATCTTCACATACATATTGCTCCTTTTTGATGAGCAGTCTGCTTCTGGCATTCGAGCCAAGTCAAATATACACCTGGCCGGAGACCGACACGCACAGCGTAGTATCTCTGCAGGTCCTTGTCCGCCTTGCGCTTCCTCGATTTGTCCGCAGGCATGTCGACGCGCTCGTTCAGGAAGCTTGCGTGAAGCTGTAGGGTGTCACGGCAGCCGTTGCGGATGTCGCCCGGTCTGCCTCGCCAGGTCGTGGCGTTTCGTCGTCTTAAAAGTACCGATGAGAGAAGGCGACAGCTTACAGAAGCTCGGGGATGAAGTTCGTCCACAGCTTTTGTCCAAAGAGCTTGAAGTCGCGAGCGCATATGTCGTGGCCGTTACAAAGCTACCTGGTTGGTGTCGCGTAGTTCAAGAGAGTCAAAGGCGACTCATGCTGGTGGCTAGAAGGGTCTCGAAAGCTGCAGTTCCAGGGCCGTTTCCTCAGCGGTTGCCTTTGTTCGTGGGCGCATGCCGAAACATGTAACGGGAAAAGAGTGAAGATTGCGGCAAGGGCTGGTGACGAGGGGACCACTTCAATGGATGAGAGTATGGATCAGTTCTTCCAGTGCGGGCCTTCCTCACTAGGCGCGCCGATAAGATAAGGCGCATCTCTTCCCCGCAGGAAGCACGACCGCTGTAAAGCTTGCCGACCCTTAGCGCAGTCTGACTCTGTACCTAAGCACACACCGTGCTATTACCTACCTTATTCATCGGGCACTATTTACTTGTATTACTTTTGTAGGGCAAGTGAGTGCAGGCTGCAGCCAATACCACTTGGATGCGGGTCTTATATCAGCTGGAACTCTTTCCCAGCGGTTGTTCTTATGTGACTCTGGGATTTTAGAGAGTGAAGGGGTATATCTTCCCTCAACCACTGCTCATCACAGCAACTATGGACGATGAAGACTTGATGTAAGTTGCTTGGGCATTGCTAAAGTTGCCGTCTGCTACAAATGAGACAGCATGGGTATAATTCCTGACCAGCCTACCGTCACACGACTCTCGAATCTCCCTCATCCCGTCAGACATTCCACGGGAGCTGAAAGGACTATCTAAACCCTCTGCTAGCCCTTCCAACCAATCTCTCAACCAAATACAGTAGGTAAAATGTAAAGCGCAAAAGCCGCCTACCAGCTGCCTCAGAGCTTGGGGTACAGGGTGTATCGATACTAATGCATCGAGACTACCGTCAACTTCCACAATCGTTGGCATCCCGGCACACAAAGACTGTTCTGGCCTAGGCCGGTTTCCCGACCATAAGCACCAAGGTATCGTCGTAAAGTCCCATGGGGACTAAGCATGGACTCTGTGATCAACCGGCGGCAAAGGTCCCACGCAGTCGCTCGATTCCCACTCCCACGCCAACAAGCTCCAGTTCAGCTCACGTCTCCAGAAGAGGCCAAGACCCTCGCCTCCACCGCAGTTCTCCAGCTCGGGATGGCCATGTCCTCGATCTTCCGAGCACATGCCCCCAGTAAGTGGCATGCGTTGAGCGAAGACGACCTTGCCCATCCGCGAGTGAAGGATAGCCATCGAGCATTGGACGCAAGGCTCGTGAGTTAAGTACATCTCCATACCGTGGCACAGGTAGCCGTCCGCGTTGGGATGCTCGTCTTCATGGACCGTAAGCTCGTCTTCCAAGAGCGGAAGATCTTGAAAAGTGTCGTATTCAAGGATAGCCGGCACGTGGGAGCGGCCGGCTGCACGTCTCTCGTGTCGCACAAGCTTCTGCGCCACCATGCTGATAGCTCTGAGCACGCAGTGACCCATGGGGTTGCCGGTACCGCTTCTATTGGGCTCCTGGTGCCAACGAGCATCTCCGGCAACCGCTACGAGGTGGGATTTTCCCCCTTCGCGCTGGACGATGACGGCACCCATGGGTTCACCGATACCCGCCTTCTTCGCCTGGAAGGCGACGCGATGGGCCAAGGTCATCCACAGAGATGTCTCATCCTTGATGGTTTCCGTTGATCGTCCCACCATGCTAGGGTGCGGTCCAAGAGGGTTGTTCTTTCTATACACCGTAGGCCAGAACTGCGAGGTCCACATAGCTGCCTGCACCTGAGAAGTAGGCGGTACCATGGGAATCGGAATCTTGGTGAGGAAGACGCTCTCATCCATTCCTTCGATGGCTCCCAGCTTTGCGACCAAGTCGTGCTTATCGAAGTCTTTCTCTTCACCAAGCATGATGTAGATCCAGGTGGATTTACCCGTGTGGACTTGGCGGCCTTCGGGGGAGTCGTTCATGAACTGTGTTTTGAGATGAGCCGGGATATCCGCTGGCTTCGCACATCTTCGCAAGTGAGGCAAGTTGTTAGCCACGCCTTCAGGGAGCATCGAGCGGATCAGACTAGAGTCAGGTTAGTATGTGATAGAAACGTGATGACTGCTACTCACTTGACGACATTGTTAGTAGACGTAGATGGAGCCCTCGTGATCAAAGCCTGAACAATGGTGTGGTCTTGTCGGATTTCCAAAGTCGTCTTCAGAGGAATAAGCACTCCTCGGCCAAGTTGTTGTGGAAGCAGGTGGTCGATGAGAGCATGGGGCTGGATGACATCAGGTCCAGTGTGCTCGATCTTTTCCTCAGATTGATCGTCAGGCCTATCAGAGGCCATAGCCGGCAGCGAGGCGCGTTCGACAGCGAGCATCTTGACTGGTGATCTCCCTTCCAAGATTTGGGCAGAAAAAGCAGGAACTGGTGTTTTAGTCGGTATAGATGGGGGTGCGTCACGCCAAAGCCGTGACTCACTTCAACAAGAAAGTTATCGTATCTCGACTTCGGCCTTCCGAGACACAGGACGACCGACAGAGAGGGCTACGGAGTTAGCTACCGTGTACCGCTGTGGCGTGCTGTGAGCGAGGTGTGGATCAACAGTCGACAGGACGACTGAAGTAGCTCCACGATGGTTTCCTGAGGAGTAATGTAGTGCCTTGGGTGAAGAGTCCAGTTAGAAGCCTGTCATCAAAGGTTTGCTGCTGGAATCTGATGCGGCTCGTTTGGCTTTGACGTTGTCAAACAGGGTCAAGATCGGACGTAGCGGAGAGTTTGCCGAGCAGTCAAGAAAACAGAATGATGACCAGAGAAGATTTCCAGTCAAGTCCTTGTGCGACCGACGGTTGATGTAGGTGGCACACCTAGTTCCTTCTTGAGAAAGAGAGATATGGCGTCGTGTCCTCGATCTCCAGCTGTTCTACCCCCCTTCCTCCGTGCTGTGAGGGCTGGATAATTCTGTAAGGGAACGACAGGCCAGCGCAGTTACCGCAGTTGGTAGGGACGAGATGAAGGAGGCTGCGAAGTTGCTTTTGGTCCAAAGTGAGGTGCACTCATGTAGTACCTTGAAGCAGAACCCAGCGGAAGGAAGTCACGAGAAGCAACTTGATGATGGGGCCCACACTGCCTCAGGAAGCTACTTTGGAAGGCAGAGCCAGGACGAATGAAATCGTGACCCGGGACACTGACCTGGAAGGCGCGGAAAGGAAGGCACCCGACCTGCACCTTCAGCTGCTCTTCTGCTCTTGCCTCAGATCAGATCCTGTTCACTTCCAGCCCCGAGCTGCTTTGTTTATCTCCTTCCGTCCTTTGACTCTTTTGCAGCCTTGTAGACAAACTTGATTCTCGGTCACTTCTCTAGAAAGATTGTGTGCGGTGCACAAAGCCTTCCGTCGATTCAGGAGGCAAGTTGAGGTGCAACGATATTTGCCAAGATATCTGGAAATGCGCCAGATATTATTGGAACCGCTGATTGGCGGATCCAAATATCTCGTTCGGAGAGTCTCAGCGTTGGTATCAGTCTCAGCCTCAGCTTTCCATCTATAGATGAATTCAAGACGGATGTAACCCAAAGACTTGAAGATCAATGTTCTGCCGGGTCCTGAAACAGCAGGGTCCAGATTTGGGACCAAACAAAGAAACGAGAACAGAGGAAAGAAGCCCTATCGGATTAGATGGCGTCGTTGTTTAATGGATAGTGTAGCTGGAGGCCAAGAGGATCCGGATCTGGAAGTGGTTTGAGCTGTGGTATCGAACGGAGGGGACCGAAGTGAAGCATCAGAAAATTTGGCGATCTATTTGACAGACTGGATCCCAGTAGGCCAGGCGTTGTCAGGCACAGAGAGCCCCTACCTAGTCGAATCGGGTTGCAGAGGCAGAGCCGCTAGCGGGGTCTAGGGTCTTATCGATAAAGTGACAGGCTACTCACGCACCTCGGTGTAGCCAGTCCGGTCCTAGCAGTGACCACTTCGCCGACGGGACGTTTGGATTGTGCCTGCGACGTCTAAGGTATTTCCAGATTCGTGACATGGGGGTAAAGAGCGGGGCGACTGTAAGAATACCTAGCATTTGCATGAGAATCTCTTTGGCAATCACCACCAGGGAGTTTCTCTCCCGTTCTTGTCCATAGTGTTTGGGCAACTTTCATACTTTCCCTTAGAATTGTGCTTTCTCTGGAGAGATCAAGAGGCAAGAGAAGAGCGGGAAGGCGCGAAAGCCCAGGGAGATCACATCTGTAACCATGGGGAGGAGGGGATCGACTGAAGCAAAATACCCAGCGACTGGAGAAGGAGCTGGAGAAGACTGGAGAAGGCATGGAACGTGAGAGGCAAGAGGCGACTAGGGAGAAGCACTTCCACCACTGAAACCAACCGAATACCTCTTACTGACCCATCAGGATGAACAACGCGAAGCAAGACAAAACCTCACCTTACCTCACCTCACCAAAAACACTCACCGGTCGGGCCTCACCTCTATTAAACGAAGGTTTCTTAGAGGTAAGTCCACACATTCCATACCCCCGGTTGAGCTCTTTCAACAGAGATAAGCTTCTAATTCTGTAGTTTTGGTTGGTTCTTTTCGCAGTGCACTGTCTCATAACGCCTGAGCAAGCCAAGAGTGGTAGACAAGTCGACTTTTCGGCTCTCATCATCCGTGCCAACATGCCTCCATCATGGATCATCTCATTGGTTATCAACATTTGGTCCGTGGCAGAACGAGTCTCACAAGCCAGACTGTGTTCTCTCTCAAAGGTGCCGCATCTGAATTAGAAATGCAATCGCCCAACGGTAACTCGACCCCATGTGTGAAGGGCCCATCGCCTATTTCCCAATCTCCGATGACGGCACGCCCTCCTGGCCGGCCCCCGCCGGCCGCGACTGCAAGTCATACCCATCGCTAAACGCTCTTGCAAGGTCGCAGTCGCAACGCGTGTCGGCCGTATCTCCTCTCCGCACTACGCTTCAAATGACGCTTTCGCCATCGCAGATCCAGCAAGCGTTCCTTGACATCTTGGCGAGAATGCATCTGCGACGGAGCAGTTGGTCCCTTGATTATCGTCGAGGTGGCTATGACAGTGGGCTTCTAGAAAGCGAACGGCAAACCCTGCCGCGAACCCCTCACGATGCATGCGGGGTCAGCAGCAGAAGCGGAATAGACTACCAGAGACTAATAACGCCTAAACTTCGACACCTGGTGGAGACCACAGAGTGGCGGCGCGGCGGCAATAGCAGAAACGAGGAGTGCGAATGAGGGCCGCGCCGCCGGCGTCTGGAGCACCTGGAATTGCCAACCCTCCCCTACACACTAGAGATTTGGGAGCTGAGAAGTCACAAATGTCTTTGCTGCAGCCCGCATCCTGCAGTGTAACAGGAGAACCTTCTGCAAAAGAGTCTTGGAGTGGGGGTACCACGCCAAATTCCTCCTTCGTCATCCATGCCCAGTCCCTGTTTCTGGCGTGAAGCATGAAAGCAACCTCGCAACTGGACTGTTGAAGATGATTGGCCGCTGCGGTTGAGTTACCAGTGGTTATTGGCATGGCGGGATGACTGGGCGTTGGGTGGAAGCCTCACTCGCCCCGAGAACGATGACATGGCGCCCTCAGACTTTGGCGGGACATACGGATCACTATCCCGCCATTCTGCAGGTTGTTTTGTGTATGTACAAAATCGGGCTTACCATGGGCTTTTCCGTTTCACAGGGGCAAGATCTCAATGTGCTGGAAGGGCATATGGGTGACATCACCGCCCAGACCTGAGTGAAAATGAGCATCATGAGCCATCTTTCTTTGCAGAAATGTCTAGGAAGATCGGGCTGGCTGGTATTTGGCAGTGACAGAATGCTTGCTGTCAAGACTCAAATGCAGCCCTGGCATCCCCACAACATGTCGAACAACTGGTAGGGGTTCCGTGAGGGGTTCACAGGTTCGCCAGGAGCGCAGCGGATCCTTGGTGGGAGCGGATCTCCGGGGGCGTGGAGGTTCCTTTTCCAGCCTCCGGACTTCGGGGTGATTCCGACAGAAGGTCAGCCCAAGCGCTAGGTGAGTTGTTGCAACGCCAACAGAATATGTAATGACCATCACCGGCACGCGACCCTGGAGATGGTGTGTGTCAAATCATGCTGTGCACCCTTCTCGGAGACGCCTTGTTGAGCGCCGCCGGAGACTTGTTGCAGCACATCGGAGGGATGCCTGTTGCTACACCCACTACTGGATAGTACCTACTCATTCAGCAAGAAATAATCGAGAGAGGTAACCTCGAAAAGGGGCTATCAAAGCTAGGAACGTGGCCACCTAGAAATGGAACAAGGCGATCAACCGCAAGGATAAGCTTTGGGCAAGTGTCGAAGGCGTGTTGGCGAGGGCTGATGTGAGTGGTCTATTCCGGTTGGCTTGGCTGAGAGCTGGAATGCTTGAGAAAGATGGGATGGTTGTAGAATAGCTCTGGTGCCGGCACAAGTTGATTCAGGAGGGGACTTGGCGGCCGATTACTATGGACATCTGAGTCGTGAAACATTTGGGTGGGAAGGGAAGTGGAAAGGGCAGAACGGATCGACGGGGTATCTCCGACAAGCCCGGTGAGCGAAGCGCAGCAAAGCAAAGCCAGGCCAGGCCAGGCAGGCCACACCTCGTACAGCACCCAAGCGCTGAGCGAGCGGAACGGTGAGAAGCAGGAAAGAACTGACGTGGGACTTGGCTGTCCGAGTTACATTGTCCGTATTACGGGCACTTTTTCTTCTCCTCGACTTTCCATGTCTGCAGGAATAACATCACCCACGGAGTTAAGGTCAGGTATGCTCACGGGCAACACGGTACACGCACACAGACCGGGCGGACCAGACGAGCATGGAGGATGGAGCACGGCGACACGGAGGGCAGGACCCAGGCATACGGGGAGACGCAAAGGATGGGGCCGGCCGTCATGACGGTGTTTGGGGATTTAATTTTGGACGACGGGACGGAGGGTTTGTGTTTGTTGAGGTTCTTCTTTGCTGTACTGTAACGGGCTGTGCTGGTGCACGGAAACGTATGTGTCTCTCTCTCAACCCGCTGTGCTGGACAAATCCCCAATCCATGGTCCATGGCCAGACGGCGATTGTCAGGACTCCTGTCCAGGTCCAGGCCCAGGTTGAGCTTGAGCCTAAGCCTGAGCTTGAACTTGTATGAATAGTAGCTTTGGATAGGCATGAATGGCTTTAAACTTGGCGGACGGAAGATTGACGTGGGACATGGACATGGGACAAGACCGAGGGCGTGGGCGGATGGGCTTCTGGCATTGGACCAAGACACCAATAGGTAGCGTACCCGGGGAGCCAGCTCCCGAGTCCAGAGTAAGGTGAGGTAAAACAGACCGTGGACACGTACGTCCAGCAATAGAAAGGCAGAAATAATGAGCTCTGTTTGTTGGCGTTGCAATGTTGACAACGTAAGCTCTGGCAGACGACCTTGCACCTAGAAACTCGAACCGTTTACCTCAGGCCAGAAATAGGTATAGGGGGTTCTGGAAATGATGCCCAGCCTTTTTTCTTCCTCAGGTTTCTCTGTTAACACCCAGGTCTCGAGTCGCCCGGGGCCTTTGAGCTCGGCCGTATTGTATTTTCCCCATCAGAAAACCAACAGCAGAAATCATGCGTTGGATGGATAAGTATCCGTAAAGGGACCGACATATTGCCCAGGACAATTTGGGTGACTAAGAATCCTCGATGGAGACGTAGAAGGAAAGAAGGAAAAAAAACACGTGAAATGACCTCAGGAAAGGTGGGAAATGGAATGCTGTCAATCTCGTTCGTGAGCCCTGCCAAACGGACGGGAAGGTACGATGGCCTAGGATAGGGCGCGCGCGGCTGCCTTGAACCGTCATGTCACCTCACCTTTGGAAAGAGTGAGTCCACTTTGGAAATCAGTTCTTTCCTGTTCGCTTCTCAAGTTCTCAACCACTCTTGCTCTTTCGCACGTCCCGTTCGCTCGGGCACAGACGCAGGGCCATACGGCACGTCCACGTCGCCCGGTTTGGGCCTCCCCCCGTTTTCCGTCTCGTTGCGTGTACCAAACCGTTGGGCTGGCAGACGGGTATCGAGATCGAGAGACAGAGACAGAACACAACGTACCAGACATGGAAGAAAGAGAGGGCACGTCAAGCGCTTAGACTGCTCCGTTTGAAAGATGCGACCCGCCGCCGGGTGCGAATTGATGGCTGGAAGGCATGGATACGCGCCGCCGCCCTCTCTCTTTCCCCAAACCCCGAAATCAAATCTCCAACTCCCCTTGTAGAATGGAAGGACGAAAAAAAAAATACATACCCTCCCCCAAATATTAGAGAGAAGAAGAAGAAAAAAGCACCATCCCGCGCCGCCACGGGTCTAGCATCCCAGGGCTCCGGTGCCAGGAGAGGCTCGACAGGGTTGCAGACGGGGGTACCTTGCCAAAGCGAAATGCACCCTGGATCGCTGGAAAGGGCACATCGGCGACCGGTCACCGAGCATGCAGCACCGACCCAATTAGAGGCTCCACCGAAGGGAACCGCTCCAGAAGCAGAACACAGCTGCAGGGCAAGCCCCGAATTTCGAACGTGGTGGTACTGCTGGCTGGTGTGTGTTGGAGTCATTGGGGGCAGCGGAATGCGACAGGAGAGAAATGGGACAATTGCGAGTGGTTCCTGCACACAACGGTTCTATTGCGGTGATTCTGTCAATCTTCGAGTACCTGCGTATCTGTAAGGTAAGCTAAGGTAGATACGGACTCCAAGGTAAGGTGCGACTAGAGACCTAGTCTGTACCTGCCCAGCATTGGTTTCCCGTTTACAGATTGCAGAGTACAAACACAGCCAAGAATGTACTATTGTATCGCGCCAAGAAGATTCTTTCTAACCTTGGATATCGAGTCTCTTCTCACACGCCTCACGCCTCACTCTCTCCAAACAGAAGAAGGTACTCCATCTTCAGACACACCTTGTCTTCAACAAGGCCAGCCATGCAGAGGAGGAGTATCCGCCCTTACTCCGTACCATACCTTAGTAGAACATGCAATGGAAAAAGGCAGGGCAGGGCAGGGCTCTCTGCAATAAGGCAGTGAGGAGCCTGAGGAGTCCTCGGACGGGCCTTCTCCTTGCTCACCCTCACCCTGTCCCGTCCCTCGTCCCCGTTCATCGAACCCTCGCACTCACTCACAGGCTCACCCTCACTCATACAGCCCAGATCCATTCTCACCTCACCCCATCCATCCCATACCGTCCCATCCTGAGGTGTCTTGCTCTGTGCTGCCCATCACTCATCCAGGGCCACCATCCCATTACCCATCGCCCATTGCCTCGACCGTACCACTAAAGTAGATATATCGGTCCTTCCTCCATAGACGGGCTCCATCGCTCTGACCCTCCCCTCTTCTTTCTATCCTCTTTAACCCGACAGACCCATCCATCCCGAACACATTAGAATCTTCTTTCTTTTCTGTTCTTGTTGTCCCACAGCCTTTTTTTATTTGATACCTCTTTATCTATCCAGCCAGTTGCTTTGTGTGTCTTCTTCTGCTTGCACTGCAACTCCCGCCATCCATCACTGCGATACAATTTTACAAAGTATTTGGCATTCTCATCCATCGTAGTCTATCTGTACCATCGACCTACAGGTAGTGAACTACAGTGCTCTGTCTCTGTATAGAGTAAATATCTCATCGTCCTCGTCCTCCTCCGCACCAGAACAAGACCGCATTGCACTTACACGCGCTGTGTTCCTTGTCTTGTTCCCCTCTCAACACTTTTTTCTCTCATTCCGCCCAGACCACGCCTGCTGCGAACCCGGCAAGACCCCTGCACGCTAAGGCAAGAGCTAGCCATCTTGGACGCCACATTTCATCACCCACCCTGGGACAGCTCGACCAGCTTCCCCATCCTAGCGCAGCGATTGGGTACAGGGCCTTCTAACTGACCCCGAAGAGAGAATTCTCACGGCAGGAGCAGCCCAGGAAGCCCAGGAAACAGGTGCACCTAGCTAAAGCAACAAAGCGGCGACTGCTCTAAACGGCAGGCCCAGCCAACCACAGCTACCATACCCAGGCGCACACCCTGTGTGACTCCTTCCTTTAACAAAGGGTCGTCGGCGTAGTGTTTTTTTTCCCACGCCTGCCGCCTGCCTCGCATATTCGCATCCATGCCTTCCGCAATCTTTCCTGATCACCACCCAGGTCCGTACAAACCACACCTCTCCAGTCCACCACCCAAGCTATTCTTTTTTTTTTTCCCCTTCTACCTCTGCACGCC